TTAATTGAATTTATAAACTTTATCAATTGTCAGCAAAAAGCTTCAGAGTAAGTTAGCTGGAGAATTAAATTTTTTTATTCTTGTCAAGGGCACTGAATTGACAAGATTTTGGCTTTTGTGTATTCCACCAAAATTAACCAGATATAGGAAAGAGAAGTTAAATTCCTAGTTTCTCCCAAATGAGGGTTCATTGATATCTAATTCCAACTAGAGATAAAGTTAGGAGGTGAGCAAAAGAAAAAGCTAGAGATTAAGTCATATTTTAAATATTTTTAAATTAATTTAATTATTTCATTTAAATTATTAACGAATAAAAAATTTATTAAGAATTTGTTTCGGAATTTAAGATTTCATTAGATTTAATTTAAAAAAAAACTTAAAATATTTCATTCAATCGACCAATATTCTTCCACAAGAGAAGGCAATTAACTCATTACTGCTAATTGTATATAAAAGTTGAAATATAAATATATAGGATTTAATATAGCGAAAATTATATGAAGATATTGAAGTAAATATACTTTAATTATAAAAAAATAGATTTAGCCCATATATTAATTTATTTCACTTAATTTAAAATTTTCAATGGGTACAATCAAACCTTTTTCGACTGTAGTATTAGAAAGAATTTCATATTAAATTATAAAATATGATGATTAATCACATATAAGATATATTAAAATTCAAATGTATTTTCAATATATTTGAAATAATAAAATTAGGTGCTATTTTCCTATATTTTCCTATTACTATAAAACATATCCATATATGATATGGGAAAACAGTTGGAAAGTATTTCAGAATTAAAAAAATAGTATTATCAATTATTCAGAATATTTTGACTAATTCAATATATTAAATACAAAAATTAAAAATTATAGAACAAAAATGTTCCACATTTTTAGAATATTTATCAAAGATATTATAAAAATTAATTACTTATAAAATGAAATTTAATTAAAAAAGATTAACATTAAATCACTGTAATTTTTTCTAATAAAATTCTTATTCTTTGATTCCATCTTAATATTAACCAATATATATGACTTATTCGTCGCTAATATTATTTAGATAATTTAACTATTGAAAATTTTCATGCAAATCTATCCATTTTCCAAACTTTACTCCATTCCTATCAAACTAACCACCACCACTTATTATGGATAACAATATTTACATTAACTTATATTATTTTTCAACATTAGTTGTAAAGAATGCATTCCATTCTCCACATTTAATTCCGTTTAAATATTATCCTTTATAAACAACTAAAGAAGCTCTAATAAATTTAATCATAAAGTGTACTAACAAAATGTTTCAGAAAGTTCTGTCCATTATCCAATTTTCATTCCATTATCGTTGTAGGTTCCTTTACCTCTAAATTTAAAGATTGATATCAAACATTTTCAAATTATCCTCACAATATTTGCTAATTAGAGTTTCCCAATTTCCTATTTTAATTCCTTCTTAATAATTTCCTACAAATAACACTCTCCAATATCTTATTAAATAGATAATATATTAAACTCCTAAACTTTATCATTTATTTCAATCCATAATCCAAATTTTAATCCTCTATTATTATAGCTCCCTCCTCCTCTGAAAAATAATAATCTAATTTTATAATACATTATCTTATTATCATAATTAATTTGTCATTTTCCAACTTTTTTTCCGTTTATATATCTTCCTTCGAATGAAATCTTTGATATAAATCTAAAAAAATAATAAGTTCTTAATTATTATCCATAATCTTCTACTTCTAGCCAAATACCTGTTTTCTATCCGTATTCATCGAAATCACCTCCTCCACTACAATATGATTAGATTCTGTTACATAACATTATAAGTTAATTAATCTATAATTTTCCACCTTCCTATTTTAAGACCCTTAATATAATTTCCTACATTCATTATTTTGCATTCAGAACGTTTAGAATGAATAAAACTATAATAATATTATACCTCATAAATTTTTCATGAATTTCAGTCCACTTTCCATTTTTTATATCATTGTCATAACATCCTAGACATCTAAGAATATAATAATTTTGAAACATTATACATTAATTTATAATGATCATCTTTATATTCCTTTAATAGAGACTCCCAAATTCCAATTTTTAACCCATTTTTATATTCTCCTTATTCTAAAATCTAGCATCCACTAAAATTAATTTCATTACTCTTACTTCCAAAAATTTTCACTTTCCTCCACCCATTTTCCATTTTTTTATCCTTCTCTGTTATAAACACCTCCTCCTCTAAGAGTATTATAAGCGTTTACATTTTTTTAAAACGATTATCAAAGTAACTTCGAAAAAAAATGTCCCACTAACCTTCTTTTGCGTCATTATAATAAATTCCTTTATAAACAATTTGTCTTCCACTGATAATATTATCATATTTTAATTACTTATAAAAGTTCTTATGTAACTCTATCCAATACCCTTATTTAATAGCCTCTTAATCATAATAGCCTCCACCACTTATAAAGATTTAATTTTACATTCTTACATATTGGCGATTTATTTTAATTTTTAATCTAAATAATATATTTACCATTTTCCTTGTTTAATATCATCAAAATATTATCCTCTAAAAGTTACTTATGATTTGCTATTTTAATTTAGATAAGATTACTCCCAAAAATTTTCAAAAAGTTCAATCCATTCACCTGTTTTTAATCCTTAATCGCAATAATATCCTCCTGCTTCTAAATTTTCACCTTTCCATAAAGCATACCATTTTCCAATTTTTTATTACAGATTATTATACTAACCATGCCATCTTAAATATTTAATTTACTCTAAATTTTTGGTTTAATTTAGAGTATCCTTGTAATCTCTAAATCATAGTTTAATAGTTACATAAAAAGAATAGAGCCATCCTTTTAATAAATAACAGTTCCTTCTTCATTAATTTAAATACTAAAAGTTGCTTTTTAGAATAACAATAAATTTGAAATCCTGTAACTTTCTCTTCCTTCTATTTTTGTCCAGTCCTTATTAAAAATTTATCTTTCTTTAAAATCGGATCCATATTTTAAATAATTTGTAACAGTATTTATTGCTTCAAATAAAATCATTATTTTAATTAATTATATATTAAAGTTTATTTAGCAAATATATATAATAATTTTAGATTTTTAAGAAATTAATCAGAGATTAGAATCACCGATTATTAAAAATAAGTTATACTAATTATAATTCATTATTGATTATTATTCAAAATCAGAATATAATGAAAATAATATACACTTTTAGTAGTTAATTGGAATCATTTGATTTATGAATCTCCTCTTTGCTCTAAGTTTCTTATTGATATTTTATATGATTAATATCAAAACTAATATTTATATATTTATTTCATTAAAATTATATAGATTCTAATTTGCTAATTATTACAATTTTAGTTAAAAAAAGGAATCAGAATAAATTTCATTTCTAAGATCATAATTTTAACTATTCTGAATATAAATTTTTAAATATACTCCTAAAGAAGTCGATGCAAAAAATAAATAATTAGCAGATATGTCCATAAAATAAGACTATTTTTATTAACAATTAAGTTTAATAATAAATTATTTCTATAAANTAATAATCTAATTTTATAATACATTATCTTATTATCATAATTAATTTGCCATTTTCCAACTTTTTTTCCGTTTATATATCTTCCTTCGAATGAAATCTTTGATATAAATCTAAAAAAATAATAAGTTCTTAATTATTATCCATAATCTTCTACTTCTAGCCAAATACCTGTTTTCTATCCGCATTCATCGAAATCACCTCCTCCACTACAATATGATTAGATTCTGTTACATAACATTATAAGTTAATTAATCTATAATTTTCCACCTTCCTATTTTAAGACCCTTAATATAATTTCCTACATTCATTATTTTGCATTCAGAACGTTTAGAATGAATAAAACTATAATAATATTATACCTCATAAATTTTTCATGAATTTCAGTCCACTTTCCATTTTTTATATCATTGTCATAACATCCTAGACATCTAAGAATATAATAATTTTGAAACATTATACATTAATTTATAATGATCATCTTTATATTCCTTTAATAGAGACTCCCAAATTCCAATTTTTAACCCATTTTTATATTCTCCTTATTCTAAAATCTAGCATCCACTAAAATTAATTTCATTACTCTTACTTCCAAAAATTTTCACTTTCCTCCACCCATTTTCCATTTTTTTATCCTTCTCTGTTATAAACACCTCCTCCTCTAAGAGTATTATAAGCGTTTACATTTTTTTAAAACGATTATCAAAGTAACTTCGAAAAAAAATGTCCCACTAACCTTCTTTTGCGTCATTATAATAAATTCCTTTATAAACAATTTGTCTTCCACTGATAATATTATCATATTTTAATTACTTATAAAAGTTCTTATGTAACTCTATCCAATACCCTTATTTAATAGCCTCTTAATCATAATAGCCTCCACCACTTATAAAGATTTAATTTTACATTCTTACATATTGGCGATTTATTTTAATTTTTAATCTAAATAATATATTTACCATTTTCCTTGTTTAATATCATCAAAATATTATCCTCTAAAAGTTACTTATGATTTGCTATTTTAATTTAGATAAGATTACTCCCAAAAATTTTCAAAAAGTTCAATCCATTCACCTGTTTTTAATCCTTAATCGCAATAATATCCTCCTGCTTCTAAATTTTCACCTTTCCATAAAGCATACCATTTTCCAATTTTTTATTACAGATTATTATACTAACCATGCCATCTTAAATATTTAATTTACTCTAAATTTTTGGTTTAATTTAGAGTATCCTTGTAATCTCTAAATCATAGTTTAATAGTTACATAAAAAGAATAGAGCCATCCTTTTAATAAATAACAGTTCCTTCTTCATTAATTTAAATACTAAAAGTTGCTTTTTAGAATAACAATAAATTTGAAATCCTGTAACTTTCTCTTCCTTCTATTTTTGTCCAGTCCTTATTAAAAATTTATCTTTCTTTAAAATCGGATCCATATTTTAAATAATTTGTAACAGTATTTATTGCTTCAAATAAAATCATTATTTTAATTAATTATATATTAAAGTTTATTTAGCAAATATATATAATAATTTTAGATTTTTAAGAAATTAATCAGAGATTAGAATCACCGATTATTAAAAATAAGTTATACTAATTATAATTCATTATTGATTATTATTCAAAATCAGAATATAATGAAAATAATATACACTTTTAGTAGTTAATTGGAATCATTTGATTTATGAATCTCCTCTTTGCTCTAAGTTTCTTATTGATATTTTATATGATTAATATCAAAACTAATATTTATATATTTATTTCATTAAAATTATATAGATTCTAATTTGCTAATTATTACAATTTTAGTTAAAAAAAGGAATCAGAATAAATTTCATTTCTAAGATCATAATTTTAACTATTCTGAATATAAATTTTTAAATATACTCCTAAAGAAGTCGATGCAAAAAATAAATAATTAGCAGATATGTCCATAAAATAAGACTATTTTTATTAACAATTAAGTTTAATAATAAATTATTTCTATAAATACTAATTGAATGTTTAAATTGACCTCAATCTGTATTATTATAGTATCATATATCACAAATAGATAATTTATATCATTAATAATACTGCATAAAAATACTTTTAATTAAAATATAATTTATATATTGTTTATTCTCATTTCTTCCATTAATTTCATTATTTCAACAGTTTTAATTTGGCCTCCCCGACTTTATTAAGGGATAATGTTGTATAAATTTGTTATTGCCTTAAATAACATAAAATATTTACTCTTTTTTCTCTTAGCACTTCTTTGAAATTGTAAGCCTTCGCAATTTTTTGAAATTTCTATCTATCCTAGAACTCTTTTATCTCCATTAATCTATAATATCATTAAATTTCCAGATTAAACTTGATTAAGGAAAGAATTTTTTTAATATAATTATGAGGTATGTCAAAAAATTTTCTTTGTATTTTTTATAATAAGCAGAGATAATATCAAAAAGATATGGAAAACTAAATCTAAAGCAAATAAGGGCTATTAAAATTTACAAAATTTGTGCTAAGATTTAGTCTCCTTACTATTCACAAATATATTAAACGGCAGCTAAGAAAATTGCTATGGAACAAAATTATCCTGAATTCAAATCCAATTTATTTAATTTTGGATAAATGTAAGGCAAATATGATGATGTGATTATTTAATAGATCATTAAGCACATTGCAATCAAGATTCCTTTTAAAAATATATTAGTTTCAAAATAAATCAAAATAACTATAATAATGGTTTTCTTCCATAATTTAACCCATTCCCAAAAAGAGTTATTGGTGTTATATTCATTAAATAAATAGCCAATATGTCTTCTGAATTATATTTTATCAAAAAAATTTCTTTTCTTGTACAAAAATAAAAGTAATGATATCGGTAAAATTAATCCTATCAGTAATGAAAGAGGTAAAGCAAACTTATAAATCCATGCCTAATGATTAAGTGAGTCAAATAGGAGAGATACATCTCCTTAAACGTAATCAATATTAGAGATTTCCCTTTTGGCCAAAATTGAAAAAAGCCTTAAATCATTATAAAATCATACTAATTGATTAATGCAGCATAGTTTTATACATATAAATAAATTATTGTAATTGAAGATATGTTACTACTGAATTTTCCTTTTGTAAGCATAATAAAAATGTTAACTGTTAATTAAATAACAAAGATTTATAAACTGATTAGAGTAAACATTCCTAATACTCTAATATATATTAATTCTATTTCAAATGATTATGAAATTTCACAATCTAAATTACGAGTAAGGAAATATGATGTATCACTCATCTAATTAACAAAAATAAATGAAAAAGAGAATTGAATGTTAAAAGTAAAAATTACAGAAAATATCCAAATGTAATTAAGCAATAACTTTAATAAAATACTCTCTTAATCTAAAAATAATATTTTTTAAACAAATACTTATATTCATCTTAAATAGGATATGAGCAAAATTTTAAGTGAGTTTTAATGAAGCAAAGAGTTAATTAGTTTTCTATACACTAGTTAATGTTATAAAAGCTGATAGAAAGACCCTATTGTAGAATTAATTTATTACCAAATTGTTATGAGAACCAAAGATAATATGTTAATAGAAAAATTGCTACAATTTAAACAAGTAAATTGATCATTTTTAAAATAATATCCATCTCCTCTAGTATTCTGCTTATCACACTCTTCACACAATCCTCCAACATGCCCAATTTAACAAATATCATCACCAACAGCCCAACCACCTTTGCATGATTCAATATTTTTGAAGCAATCATTCACTAAATCAGATTCCTGATGAGGTCTCCAATATCCAGGTTTCAATTTAATATTGTTAGAAGTAATGGCTTCAAATTTTGTTTTATCAAATATTGAACACTTTGTAGCATTGTATGTAACAGAATAAAACCCTTATGTAGATTAACAAGTCAAACAACCATTTAAAACATTAAATTCTCCTAATTAACAAATTAGGCTTTATACTTTTATCTTATACGATAATTCCTTAATTAAACTTTAGGTTTTGCAGTAAATTTCAATTTCATACTATTTGTCAGTTTGATTATATGGATCAAAAGTAAAAATTAAATTTCCTAAGTCGAAATTATTTGTTGTTTAATTAAAATATATTAATGAAGCATTGCTTGAGCTTAATCTAACTTATTTTTTAATATCGATTATAGATTCCATAATTTAACAAGTTGAATTAGTAAAATTAAGCAATTATTCATTAAATCTATTTTTTAATTAAATTGAAAACTCATTTATATATGCTGAAAATTTCTTTAATTTTGGATTGTATAGTTCATATTTTGAGATCTCTTAATTGCTTGGTATCATTAATTTATTTGACAAAATTACTTTACCTTATTATAATATTCTATAGGGACTTAATTTTAATGACTTTTATGATTTTGAATCAAAAGATTATTCTGAAGGCATAATTTGATGATTGATTGATATTTCTAAATGAGAAGGCAATTCTTATATATTATCAGTAGTTAATTCAGCTTTATTAAAATTTAACAATGACTTCAAAAAATTTATTTCACTCAAAATACTTTCTCCATTTTAATATATTCCCCCACCTTCCCTTGCTTTATTATGTTAGATATATGTTGAATTTATTACAAAATCTGCATTATTTAAATTCAAATATAATCCTCCTCCTAATTAAGTAGCTGTATTATTCAAAATCTTGACATTGGAAATAAATGTCTTAACATTTATTGAAGATAGAGCCAATCCTTAGCTACCAGTATTATTAATAAAAAGAGAATTCATAATTTGTAATTTTCCTTGAAGTTTTATATCTGATAAAGCTGTGATACATCCAAATTATTAGACAATATTTCCTATACAATAAAGTTCTTCAATCTTTATTTAAAGAAAATCAACTAATTAAAGGAATATTAAACCATTCATACAAGTAATGCAATCATTATATTACAGAAATATAGATATCATATGGACTTTTGTTTGATTGTTTTAAAATTTCATGTATAAAATTGATCCATCTTGAGTGGAATAGGATTAAATCTATTCGAAATTATTTGTCTTTTTCTCTAATTATTATTCGTTTATTGAAAGCTATACAGCTTTTAATGTTTAACATTTTGTATACTCAATTAGAAAATTTGGATAAATATATGGACTTAAATTCTAATCCTTAATATTTAACTTTTTTATTTGATATGTATTTAGGTTTTATATAAATATTATAGATTTATATTATGAAACCTATTCTATTTGTAGCAAATTCAAATTGTAAAATAAAGTAATTTCTTTAAAAAATATATTTACTAGTTCTATAGTTTTGCAATTTATTAAATTTAAGATACCAGATAAGGTAAATCCTTCAAATATTAAATTACGAATAATTAATTGACATCCTTATATATTTATAATAGCATTATCTTGAGTTACTTTTGATATTACTAATTGTTCCAAGATATTGAGCTATTTATTGAACTATATTGAAGCTTATATGTTTTATTATATAAGAATGTTTTCAATTATAACTTTATTTTAATCAGCATTTTCAAAAGGAAATAATAATGATAAAAATAAATTTATTAAAGAAAAACAATTTGAAACTTGAACATTTTTTATGATAATAATATTTGATACTTCTGATGGATTAACAGATATGATTGCTGGTGCTAAATTATTTAAAATCTCTGTGAATTTAAAATTTTATAGTAATAGATTTAAATAACTATTTTAGGAATTAATACTAATTGATCCTTCTTATTCCTAATTTAAAAGCAAATTATTTTAAGAATAAGCAATACTGCAATTATTTAAAACAACAATACCTTTTCCTTTAGTGTTTATATCTAAAACAGAGCTACCTCTGGAAATAAGGTATTAAAAGAATCCATTTTCTAAGGTAAACTTATCAGCAATTAGCTGCATTGCTCCTCCTTTATTTTTTATTGAGAGAACTTATTCAATTATATAATTAACTTCAATCTGATTGAGATTACTTAATAACTATATTTAAATATCATAATATTTATTCCATAACTCCAATCTTAGATAATTATGATTGGAAACTTTAATTTATTCTACTTTAATTTCACTAGAACTAATAGTAATAAATGAATTAGAAGAATTTGTTAGAGAATTCTCAAAACAATATATATTTTTAAGAATAATAGAGCTATAAATAGAATTTATGAAAAGCAAACTAGAAGAAGTAAATGTTGGATCTACAATATATTAATAATAAGAATTCTCCTAATAAAATATATTCTCTAAATAAATTTACTAAACTTTATCTGAAATGATCGAAATGATAGAAAAAATATTTCCTTAACTTATTTTCATCAAAATGTTACTAGTTAAACTAATGTTTTGAATGATGATATTCTCAAAATCTTCATTTTTAGCTAATTCATTCGATTAAATTT